CCCACCAGCCACTCCTTGGAAGGAAGACTGGGAGATCTACTTCCAGAGAGATACAGCCTTAGAAACCCAAGGAGGGGTCACTATGAGTCGGAATTGACTCGACAGTAGTGAGTTTGGTTTTTTGGAGAGGAAACATTACCAGTCTTCTGTCAGGAGGGACAGGTGCAGTTCCCTGAGTACACATTTGAGAATGGTGATGTAGGAACCTAATAATTTCTTAAACATACTTTCAGCCCATTTATATCCCTTCTCCCAGAGGAATCTGATGCTTTCAATTCCTGAGCCTTTCCGGAGTCCTGTAGTTAAACTTGGATGCAGATTTCTTAGATGTGCTGTCAGGTACACTTATCCATCTGCTGTGTAGCTTTTATAATATTTTCCCCATTCTTTTTATTCCTAGGGATTATCTTATTTATCTTTTTATTCCCACTGTTACTTTAATGCAGTTTCAGGAGAGAACATACCTTAACTCATATGTTTAATTCGTCATCTTAACTACAATCATCACCAATTCAGTCTTAACCATCAATGAGAGCAATAAGTAATTCAGACCAGAAATAGTCATGTTATAGGCTGCAGCTATTTTTTGCATTCTGAGTACCACAATTGGCAGTTGACAAACTATAGATTGCCCAGAGAAAAGATACAACAATGATTCAAGATACAAAACTAAGTTACATGAGAAGCAGCTGAAATAATTGTTGGTATTTATCTAGAGAAAAGAAGGCTTAAAAAATGTTATGATCATAATGCCTAGGCATTTGACTGCTAACCAGAAGGCTAGAGGTTCAAACCCACCAGCCACTCCTGGGAAGGAAGGTTGGACAATCTACTTCCGTAGTGATACAGCCTCGGAAACCCAAGGAGGGGCTGCTATGAGTAGGCTACGACTCTATGGCAGTGGGTTTGGTTTGGTTTTTATGTTGATTATTCATGGGTTTACTATATAACTGTCTGCTCAAGGTTTTGGAGGGGTGAGAATATTGTAGTTATCTTTAAATATTTAATTGGCCATTTCATTTACAAAGGATTAGACATTAAGCTTGGTTTCAGAAGACATAAGAAGGCTAAAAGAACTAAAGTGAAAGTGAGGTAAATTGTGTCTCAGTGTAAGAAAGAACTTACCATAGTCATCTCAAGTATAAATGTCAAATGGAACCAAATAAATAACATAAATGTCCTATATAGTGGCTAAAGATACTAGTAAATGTAAAAGTACATACCATGTGTAAGTGAGCAGCAGTATTGACAGTTTCAGTTTTTCAAGAGGAGTTGTATATTTTTACATTTATTTTTAATATTCTAATTTTTCACAATTAATTTAATTAAAAAATTCTATGTCTTATATCAAATGTTTGTAGAGGTTGAATTTATTCTATGACACTCTAGTTCATGACCTCTCTAACGCTTAGGTCTAATATTGATTATTATCATTGGGATTGTCCAAGGGAAAGTTTGTTGGTCACATATCAGGCATGCCACTGAGAATAAAGTAGAGCTTAATAACGTTTAATTGCTTTTTCACTTCAGCTGGTAATGTGCCATGGTAATTGTGCCCTTGCATGATATCTAGTCTTTACTTTTCCTTCTTTCCCCTTTCATCTTTTTTGGTCATTTAACATCATTGTGAAAATCACAAATAACTCGTGCTAATTACATGTGGCAATTTATATGATATACATTTAAAAGAATCAAATGCAAATGATATGCAATTACAGACTAAACTGATGTAATAGCTATATCCCCAAAAAGTTGTATTTGAATTATTCAAAGAAAAAAATGTCACACACTTGATGGTTTCACATAATTCATAGTTTTAAAAGGTGAAGTATGTATTTGAGGCCATAATTCATTCCTTCAGTTTACATTTGAGGGGCTTGAGACCTAGAGAAGTTACATGATCTGCTAAATAATGCCCTGTCTGTAGTAGATGATGTCGAGAAGAGTTAAAAAGGGAAGAGGAGATATGATCTGGTTCTTAGGAAGTTTATAATCTCAATGAAAAGTTGAAAATACCATACAAACATCTATTAAAAGTAATTTAAAGTTTAGATAGTTCAAAATAATGTACTTATATTTTACTGTGACTATTCCTGATAGCTTAGGAATTCACTTCAAACAAAAAGAAAAAAAAAATTCTATGAAACTTGAACTCAGAGCAATCACCATGTTATCCAGCTTTCTCCACTTTTTGTTTGTGATCCTCCATCTCCTTCCTGCCACTCTCACTGTGATAACTTTTGTTATCAAATATCTAATAGAAAATTGGGAGCTCTGGTAGCATAGTAGCTAAGACACTTGCCTGCTAACCAGACGGCTGGCAGTTCAAACCCACCAGCCACTCCTCAGAAGGAAGGTTGGGCAATCCTACTTCCGTAGTGATACTGCCTCGGAAACCCAAGGAGGGGTCGCTATGAGTCGGGTTTGACTCGACGGCACACAACAACAACAACAGAAAATTGGGAAACAAGTATTGATGAAGAGTGAATGCTAGTTATCCAATAATTAGCTTGCATCCAATTAAGCATTAAAAAGGGTGTCCTTTAAATTTCATAAGGAAGCACTGAATATTTCAAAATGAATTGTAATAAAATTTTTCCACTTCCCATAATGTAGTGTTCACACTTTCCAGACAATCCTTATTTCTTTTTATAAAGACAATACAAAAAAATATAAGGAAAGTCATCTTATCTCCATAAATCTGAATATTATTCAGGAGACAATTATTATGAGAATGAAGTTGCAAATGAAATAATTCCATTTTCTTCCTAACATTTTAAAGCAAGAATGACATAAACATCAAAGAAGTAAGTCTATCATTTTAAAAGTAACTGTCTCATGATTGGTAAAGTTTAAGCATGTGGAAAAAAAAATAAGGTGACAGTCTTTCATGAAAAGAAAATACAAGCTTTGAATTTTAGTATTATGTTTATAGGTGATCATCCAAGGAGATACGTGGAAGGTATTATTCATTGCAGCAAACTGAAACGTATGATATGATGGAATAAGAATCACATTTTTCTCTTTGAGGTGATTTATATTTAAATGAGTTCTCCATAATCCTTTAAACTGAAGTGCAAATTGGTTATCAAAGTCCTTTGCTGTAAGGGTTGTTTTACATAATAATGAATTTCACAGAAGTTCCTCAAAGGGAAATATTGATTTAAACGACATCACAGGATATTTCTGTTACAGCAACACTTTAGATTAGTGCCGTAAGATACCAAGTAAAACACTTTCTAAAATCTAAATTTCTCCATTAAGAAGTGTAGGCAGCATATCTTTTCTTGGTAGAAAATATATTTGTAATAGAAATTTTTAGTAGAGATGATTCTATTTGATCTATCATGTGTCATCCACATGAAGTTAACAAATTTTAGTAAGAATTTACCAAGTCCTAGCAACATGCCTTGTATTTTTTAAAAATGGGCTACATGAAAGTAGAAGGGAAATGAGAAATGTTCACTTCTCGTATGGGTCTGTGTTGCTACCAATACCAGATAGATACCTTTTTAAGCCATTGCTCTGTGATAGTTACTATACTACTTTAATCATCTTTTCAGAAGAATTCTCTGAGGTGGTGATTACTAGCATCATTTATAAGAGAGAAAACTGAGGAAAAGTAATTGTGGGTGATGATTTGTACCTAAGCTTATGCCTCCTACTCATTTTGTTATAACACCACCTCACATCTGGCTTCTTTCATTCTTGAGCCTTATGTGGCTCTCTACCAGAAGGTAAACCTGAGTCCTCAACACAGTGATGCAGTCAACAAACAGATGAGATACTGTTTTTTATAACTCAGAAGTCCTGGATTTCAGCTGGTTCTCATCAGTTAGAAATTACCTAGGTTGCCTCCCTTAGTAAAATCCTGTGACCAGGCCTTGGCTGCAACCCTCGTAGTGAAACTATAAGTTGGAAGGGCCATTGGATTCAATCACAAGAACTGGGTTTGAGTCCAAGGCTTATCACTAACGTGTTATATGGCCAAAGAAATTCAATTCACCTTGAGTTGTTGTTTTTCATCTGTGAAATAAGGAGGTTGCCTTTTTCAGTAGCTTCCAAAAGGGTATTTTTCAAATTTTTTAAGAAGTGAAACTCAGCAGGTTGAGTCTTATGTTGAATTGCAGTATATACAACAGATACCAGCTGAGCTACACTGGTCAAAGCAGGGTTAGGTTTAGAGACGACAGTGTTGATTTATCTACTAGATCTTCTACTTTTCCATTCTCCAGTTCTTTAAGGAGTCCCCTGACGTATCTAAGTCCATGTAAAACAGGATTTTCAAACCATGGACTAACTCATCGCTAAGCTTCTCCCAGTTTTCATATTCTATGATTTTAAAAATATATGTAGCAACATGAAAAGGTCATTAGAATTGCAATATAATGGAACTAGGGTCAAGGCTGATAATTCAAAGGAGAGAAGCCTTAAGCTATAAAAGGATATAATCAAATAACTTGGCCAGTGGGTGACCAGAAACGTGCTGTTGGTGTGAGGTTCCTGACACTGGGTCCAGTAGTTTTGCAGGGTGACAGCAAGGGCAGGAGTTGGGCTTCGTAATAATGGTTTGTGAAATCTGTTAAACTTTGCTTTAGTTAAGGAAATGTGAATATTACTTTATTCTGTTATCATTATTCCATTAATTGATTTTATTTGCTTAAAGGTTACTTGATATTGACATGTAAACTTTCAATTGTGATTCAACAATTAATTATTATTTCCATCAAAATCCTTTTCTTCTTTTTTTTTTAGTATGGATCTTAGAAAAATAGGTTCATATCCTCTGAAAGGCAGGGAAACACACTCTATCATTTCAATTCCATTCTTACTGCACGTATCTGTATTAAACTCTATTAAACGCAGTCAGTGTCCCCCTTGTCCTGCACTGGCTCTGTGATTGACGGCGCTTCCCCCTTGTCCTGCACTGTCTCTGTGATTGACGGCGCTTCTCTGGTGTAATTCCAACATGTCTGCAGCCACAGATGCTTCTCGCTTACCTGCCTCCGCCTTCTGCTGCTTCTCAATCTTCTCCAGGCGCCCTAGCAAGGAGTCAATTTTAGTTTTGATCTGGGTTAATTCTTTCTTGATTGTCTGTAACTCATCTGATTTCACTGGAAGGGGACAAGGAGGGGGAAGAAAAAAAAAAACCTGAATATCAAATACACCATATTTCAGTTATGGCATAGCTCACAGACACCCCATGTTCTCTCAAGGCCATATCAAGTTGCACAGGATACTTTTTAGTTTGTACTTTTTCATTTTTTTTCTGGTGCTGTTTGGATTATAGATGATTTTGTCAATTACCAGCAGTGAATATCAGTGATGTGAGTGTGTGATACTAAATGATTTAGACTGAATGTTAAGCAAAGGGACAGGAATTTGAATATGTTTTATAAAATAACTAAAATGATACTAAATTCAGTTTTGGCAAATAGTAGAGCCAATCTGCAATATAAAATGGATTCAGATTGAGGAATGATTAAATCATGATAGGTACAGTGATACTGCTTTGAGGCACCAGATTATAATAGATATTTCAGCATTCAGTGGTATTTTCAATCTAGCTTCTTGGTAGTGATTGATTGGAACTAAGATGTGACATTTATCCTCTAAAGAAATGTCTTAGATGCCAGAGAACTCTCTCCATTTACTGAACACTTGTCAGTTAGTTAACCCACTCTTTTATTTATTTTTTTTTAAATGCGGCATTAGGTTGTGCTTGCCTCTCTTCAAGCTCTGTAGCTTGCGGCAGGGAAAATTCACTGAAGTTCATACTCTGAAGTATTGGCTCCATGCCAGATTTTTGGTATTTAGTGTGATTTCCAAGAGGTGGGGTAGGGGGGTGGGGTGGGTAGAAACTAATATAGGACTGACTATTTATCATTTTCCTTAATTTATATTGATCACAGCTAGGATATTCCTCAGATATTTCTGAAGAAATTAGAATGTTTAACTTGATCTTTTTTTTTTTTAGAAAAATACTCATTTAAAATATTTTATTGTGTTTTAGGTAAAAGTTTACACAGCACATTCGGTTCTCATCCAACAACTCATACACAAGTCGTTCTGTGCCATTCATTACAATCCCCTGTAATGTGTGTGCACTCTCACTGCTTCTGCTGCACCTGTCCTGTTTCCATCCACCCAGTTTCTCTGCCCCTTCCTGCTTTTCTGTCAATTATTGACCATTTGGTCTCATATAATTAATTGCTTAAAGGAGCACATTCTTCATGGGTGTTATTCTTTATTTTATAGGCCAATCCACTTTTTGGCTTAAAGGTGAACTTGGGGATTGGCTTCACTTCCAGTTTAAAAGAATATCTTAGGGAGATAGTCTTGGGAGTTCCTCTGTCTCTCTCAGTCCAGTAAGTCTGGACTGTTTTATGAACTTGAATTTTGTTATACACTTTTCTTCCATTTTAACTGGGACCTTCTATTGTGTCTCTGGCCCACATAGTTAGAGGTAGTATAGTAGCCAAGAACTATCTAGTTCTTGTGGTCTCAGGATAAAAGAAGCTGTGATTTCCATGGGCTGTTTGTCCTGTGGACTAATTTCTTCCCTGGGTCATTGGTTTCCTTCGCTCCCCTTTGCCCCAGGCAGGAAGAGAGCAATAGTTGGATCTTAGATAGCCACTCGCAAGCTTTTCAAACCCCAGATGCTACTCACCAAACTAGAATGTAGAATGCTATCTTTATGAATTAAATTATGCCAATTTACCTAATTGTCACATGAGACTATAGTTCCGAGCATTCAAACCCAGTAAATCAATCCCAGGAAGTGTTTGAGTTCATACATAATTGTGCCTCCTATGTGCTTTATTATGTATATGAATATATATGCAACACATACAAGTATGTATTATGTGCCAACATATATACCTATATATGCACATGCATCTACTCACATATGCCTTCCCACTCCTATAAAGCATACATATCTATCTATGTAAACACTCACATATTTTTTTGCTTAGTACTGTTGGAAAATTGTATATGTTATAGCATTTTCCACAATTGCCTTTTATTCTTTTTTTTTTTTTTTTCAAATTTTTATTGTGATTTGGGTGAAAGTTTACAGAGAAAATTCATTTTCCATACAGCAGTTCATACACCTTTTGTTTCATGACATTGACTGCAATCCCCACAATGTAACTGCTCTCTTCCCACTTCCTCCCTGTGGTTACCTCTTCCCTGTGTCCTTTCCTATGCATTCCTGCCCCCTGAGCTAACTCCCTGTGCAAATACTGCCTTTGTGTTCTCCTATGATTGATTATTCTAAGCAGTGTATCTACCTGGTGTAAGAAGTGTTCACCCTATATGCCTGTCTATTGTTTGGATGACAGCTACAGGAGTGAGTCCAATTCCAGGCTTGAAGGATAACTGGGAGCCATAATCTTGTGAGTTTCACTGCCTCTATCAGACCAGTAAGCCTGGTGTTTTTTTTTATGATTTTTGAGTTTTGTTTTACATTATTCTCCTGCTCTATCCAGGATCTCCTGCACTAATCCCCTTCTGAGTGGTTGACAATGGTAGCCTGGCATATCTAGTTCTGGTCTCATGATCACATACATTGAACTTTGCATTGTCCACTAGTCCCTTGGACTAATTGTTTCCATGTGTCTTTGGTTTTCATCATTCTTCTTTGGTCTGGACTAGGAGAGACCGATTATTACATATAGATGGCTGCTTTCAAGCCTTTATGACCCCGGTTGCTACTCACCAAGGTAGTCTGTAGAACAATGTTTTTGTGTATTATGTTCTGCCAATTGAGCTTGATGTCTCTTGTGATCATGGTCCCATGCCCACAGGGTTCAACAACTCATTCGATCAGGGTGGCTGTGGCTAACAAGTTATCATATTTTTGCCACCTGTTAGTTCTATTTATATGGACATTCTTACAGCATGTATAAATACGTATGCAGAAATATTACCTGCCAACCTTATATTTGGTCATGGGTATATTCCCTTTTGCCTAGACATAACCTGATCATTTAGCCTGTCTATGCATCTACTTATCCATAGATTAGTGTTTGTTATCATTGATAACACAGTATCGTATATGTAAAATTATTTATCTTTGTTGTCTGTACATCTTGTACACCTCTCTCTGTCTTCCTTTTCCTTAGTGTTATTGCATAGGTCACTCAATTTGGTATATTGCCTTACCATTCATCCAAATCAGTACTTGCCTCCTACCTGTCTAGCAATTTTCGCTCCTCTCCCACCTCATCCCTGGTGACCAGCAAAGAAAGTTTCCTTCCATATATAAACCTTTCCTTGACTTTTTATAATTGTGGAGTTCTCCTCTATTTTTGTGTACCTCTCAGCATCTTCATTTACCTTGGTCAAATTGTGCTGACTTCCCCCATATTGTATATTGTTTTCTCCATCACCAGAATTAACATGTTTATGATCTAGTAAGTAATTCCTCCTTCCTCCCTTCCCCGGCCATCTCTGGTAACCATCAAAGAACATTGCTTTCTGTGTGTATATCCATTCTTGACTTTTTATGAAAGTATTATCATGCAATATTTGTCCTTTGTGTTTGACTTACTTCACTCACCATAATGTCCAACAGCTTCAACCACATTAGAAGATGTTTCATGCATTCATCATTGTTCTTTACCATTGTATATATGTACCACATTTGTTTACCTGTTCATTCAATGATAGCACTTAGGTGGTTTCCATTGTTTTGTTATTGTGAATGCTTCAATGAACATGGGTGTGCATAGGTCTATTCATGTCACTGCTTTTATATTTCTAGGATATAAACCTAGGAATAGGATTGCTTTAACTTGATTCTTTAGTTTTTAGGAACCATTTTGAAAGTAATAAGAACAAAATGCAATTTCTGCTTTGAATAGAGTCATTTGTCAATTTAGATATATGATACACTATATATGGTATATTATGCACTTCACACATTAAATGCTCCCAAGAAGAAAAGATATTTTTTTTCCAATGTAAATATAAGAAAGCATTTTCCATCATAATATTGGAATTTTCCTCAAAAACAAGATTTTTATTTATGATGCAAAGTAGATTGCAAAATACAAACTCAAGAATCAGAGGCCCTGTGGAGTTTCCTATTATGACATATGAAACCAAAACTAGAACAGTTTTAAAATGGAGAATTAATCCTTAAATCAATCACTTCAAAGACATCAAAGTACCATTGTTGAATTATAGCAAATTTGAAAAAAAAATCTGTAACAATTGCAAATTGATTCTGCTTTGAAAAATGAATGATTCTCATTCTCTTTGATGGAAGCATGTCATGTAGTTTTAGTTAGACTTATCAAATTTAGTAGAAAATATCTGATCTGATTACACTGGGTTTCAATGCAGGAGAAATGGGGTTATGGCTGAAAACTAATAGACTCTTTTTCATGGAAAGTGGAGCCAATACTCAGCTCACAGAAATTACATCACAAAAATAACCTAGAAGTCTGGGAGCCAAGGTTTCCTTTAAGTCTAGGCTCAAATCTAGCACTTGTAGAAATGCCTTGTAAGATCAGAGTCAGATCACTATCAAATTTGGATTTAATTAGTTAATACTCAAGCTTAGACAGCACAATGATGGAATTCAAAGAGAAGCTTTTGGTCCTCACTGTCTTAGCCTTGATCAGGTTGTCCAGATTCTCTCCTGGAAATGAGGAATACCAGCTCAACAAATGTGATGCAACATAGAGCTTAGATGTAGTCAGAGCTGCTCCTCAGTAATTGTAGAAGTCCTGAATATGGCATTGACTATATTGGGTGACATGCCCTGGGGCTGCCTATCAGTTGGATTGTCTTTTCCTTATCATACTCTAATACCTCTGTAGTATTGCCCTTGGGAGAAGTCCTGTCCTTTATCTGGTCTAGTTTGCTCTAATCATTTCTACCTGTCTTCAGTTAGTCCATGCACTATTTTGTGCCTTGATTCCTGGGATGGGCCACTTCTGTGTCTGCTTTCATTTTCTGTTTTTTATTTTTTGCTCCTGGTAAATATTTCTCTGATGCACAATGATTTACATTAGCTCTTCTTTTTATTCACTCCATCATAATAGACATATTTTACAATTATTGAAATCTAAATTTAGATTCTTAAAAATCTTTGCAACTT